GGCAGCTCATGAAGTTTGAGGGAAGAATTAGATAAATGGAAAAGACTGGATCCCACCCGAGTTAGAGAGTGAAGCAGCTTATGACATGCTCCAAGCAGAAGTTGTTCAGGGCAGGGGGTGGAGAACAGAAGGCTGCTGGGGAGATGTTACTGAATTTGGGGCCATAGCTGCACTGGTTGGCCAAAATACCTGGGACCAGTACTGAACTATGAGCTTTTTCCTTATGTGGCAGGGATCTCTTGACGCAAGTGGAAGAAATCTAAATCCAGGCTAGTGTCAAGCAAATAAGGACAATATAAGCTGTGGTTCCCATAGCTAGAGAGGTCCTGGGTAGCTCAGAATCCAAGGATGACCTGCAGGGGGCAACACATGGCTTGGAGATGCGATAGCCCTGAAAATGTCTAGCAGCCCCCAGAATTCACAAGATAAAATGCAACTTGAGTAAAAACAGTACGGGAAGTTGGGCGCAGTGGCACACACCTGTAATCCTAGCACTGTGGGAGGCTGAGGGAGGAAGATAAACCAAATTCAAATCCAGCCTGAGCAACTTAGTGACTTAGCATGAACCTGTCTCAAAGTTTAAAAAAAAAAAAATTGGGGAGCCAGGGATTTAGCTCAGTGGTTCCACTGCCTGCCTTCCAAGCACAAGGTTCTGAGTTCAATCCCCAGTACCAAAAAAGGGGATCGAACTCGGGACTTTGAACTTTTGAGACAGGCAGCGGAACCACTGAGCTAAATCCCCGACCCCCCCAAAAAAAAAAATTTTAAGGGCTGAGGATATGTAGCTCAGTGAGAAGGCCCTGGCTTCGGTCCCCAGTGTGGGATAAATAAATAATTAAATGCCAGCTCTGCCAATACAGCCTCAGCCACCGACACTCATAAACAGCCGCCTTCACCCCAGGTCACTACTCCCACACTCATCCTGTGTTGGAACCAGAGACCGGAACCAGGGGTTCTGTTTTGCCCATGTTGGGTCACCAGATCGTGGGTGACATGCCAGCCTCTACTTTACCGAACAGCCTGTTCTCTCTGTCTCGCCTTGACTTTAAACCCGATGCTCTGTGCACACAGGGTTGCTGGAGGGACACGCGTACTAGAATTTAGGAACCTAGAGACTCTTCTACATGTCAGCCCCCTAGATGCGCTCATTAAACATGCTCGTGTTCATGGCCTGTAGCTCAGTGGTAACATCCTTGGGTCACACACACAAGGCCCTGGCTTTGATCCCCAGCACTGCCTGGTGGACATGCAGCTGCTGCCTGGGCTGTTTCCCTGGAGACTGAGATGCAGCTGCTTAGGGTGGGCCGCAGCATGTGTATTATTTTTACCACACACACACACAGTGGGCTCCCAAAAGAAGAAATTGCTGACCGAGGCCTTGGGTGGGGCTCCTGGCCTCAGTATCTCCTCCTTCTGCAGCCCCTCAGCCTCTTCACTCCAGCTTCTGCAGCCCCTCAGGCCAGCCCCCCCACACACACACACACACCCGCACACCTCACCTCGGGAGGGCTCCCCCACCACACGCCCCCGGCCTGTGCCTAGGTTCTGTGTCTGTTCTACTTGCCCCTTACACCTTACTGGGAGGATCTGTCCTGCCTGACTGTAAGCCTGGGGCCGACCTGCACCCCACCATGCACTGAAGGCATGCCAACCGTGGGCTTTGCATTTATCAGCCAGTACTAAGCTCCTCAGCCTAAGTCTCCTCAGTGCACACAGGGTGATCATTGAACCTTCCTGCGCTCAGTGTCTAGAACTGTAGCACCTCACATAAAAGCAGCTCAGAATATCTGCCATCGCTCCTCAAAACAAATCCTTCAAGACACCTCAGAAGATGCAGCACCATTTTGATTAAAGTCTTTCATTCTGAGGTCTCTTTTCCCAATCATTCTTTCTCTATTAGCTGTTTCCAACAACACTTCTCGCACAGGGGCTGTTTGTTAGCTTTCTGTCACTATCACAACATAGCGGGTATGGTGAACCTACAAAGAGGAAAGGTTTATTTCCAGCTCACTGTTTTCGAGATTCCAGGGCAAGATCAGGTAGACCCGTGGCTTTGGGCCCTGGTGGACATGCAGGATGGCAGTGGGAGGGAACATGGGGTGGGGCACCCATGCACACCCATGGTCTGCAAGCACAAGAGAAAGAGGCCAGTGCCAGTTCCCAGGGAGGCCATGCCCTCTGTACCCTAAGGGCCGCCCACTAGGCCCCACCTCTTAAAGGGCCTTCCACCTCCTAGTAGCATGACCCAGGACCTTTGGGAGATATTTAGCCTCCAACCTACAGCAGGGGCTGTCATATTTATTTCTTATTCCCCGTGGACTTGCACACTGTAGGTCCTGAATGTCTATTTGTGGACTGATGGCCCAGACCCTGGATTTTAGGAACACCCTGTTCTTACTCAGAAGCAGCAAACTTGCAATCCCTGCCACCACTGCCCCAGGATGGCTCCAGTTTCCTGAAGCTGAATCCTTTACCAGGGCCAGGCAGGAGCCACCAAAAGAAAGTCTCGGGCTGGGGATTTAGCTCAGTGGTCTCGCCGCCTGCTGCGCAAGCTCAAGGACCCGAGTTTGATCCCCGGTACCAAAAAAAAAGAAAGTCTCTGCCCCAGGGCTTAGACCACTACGTGCAGAAGGAAGCAGAAGTGCTCAGATTCTGTGGGACTATTTGTCCGAAGTGGATACACTATGAGTTAAGTGAGTGTCTATGGTACATAGAGTACTGAGTCCCCAAATCCAACATTCTAAGAATTCTTATTTCTGCAGAGTTAGAAAGTTGTTCATAAATCGGTTACTTTGGCCAACAGAGACAGATTCCTCCAAGTCGACACAACTTGGGGCTGGATTTCTCTTGATAGTCAAGTGTGTAGTGTCCACATCCCCACTTTTGGGATGTCCAATTCAGCCTCACATTTCTCCTCGTGGTTGCCGGGAGGGTTGCATTCCTTCCTCAAATTCTTTGCCCAAGGGTCTTCTCCCAAAATGGCGGCCCACCACTAGCAAAGTTGCTGGGGAAGTGCCCAGGCCCAGTGCCCCTCCCGAGTTGCATTCATCTACAGTCTTGGGGTAACAGTATTAGCCTGACCTTTTCAGGTGATGAAAATGAGGTGTGGAGCTTCAGAGTCCTCCTGCCAAACTCAAGAAGCTGGTTGCTTTGGCCAACAGAGACAGGGCATTACAGGGAGGGCCTACTGTCAGGTCTTTGGAAGGCTGTACGGTCTCGCTGGGTCCTGGGCGTTGGTCTCTGACCTGGAGATGCAGCTGGCGTGAAGGTGGTTAATTACAGTCGGGCGCTGCTGGGAATGCTAATGGATCTCTCCTCTCTAATTATCGAAAGCCTTTAGAACAAGCTCGGGAAAGGCAAATTCCAGCAAAGGGTGTTAATTGCTGGGGGGGGGGGGGGGGGCAGCGAGGTGCCTGCCTCAGTTTGCCAGGATGGCTACCCGAATGAGCGGCCGGGCTGTTTCCGCGCTGTAAATTGCTGGACTGGCCCGAGCGCCGACACGTTTGAGACCTGGATTTTGAGATGGTGAGCTCTCTGTCCCCCTACCTACAACATTTTGCAAACTGTACTATGCAAACGGGTGCTTAAAATGAACACCAGTTGTGGAGAAGAATAATTAGACTGAACCTGTTGGTCTGAGACCTAAATATTTGAGGGAAATACAGGGGCGCCCCAGCTGTAGAGAAAAAGCTGCTTCCCTGACCTAAGGAAACCAGCTTCCCCGTGCCCCGTTGCAAAGCGGTCCCCTTTCTCATCTGTTTTGGGGAAGCCAGATTCAGAAGTTGGGCTTCGAAGTAGAGGCCTCGGGAGCATAGGGCCTTCTCCCCTTTCCGGACCGCCTGCCGCGCGCGCCCGAGCCCCCTGCCGGGCAGCGGAGTCCTAAATGCAAACAGCCCTGAAGCTAATATGGCCCGCAGCAAGTGAGAACTGCGATAGTGCTCTAGAGGAACGTCCAAATTGGATTAAATACCCAGATTTTTTTCCCCAAAAGAACTAGATGGGCAGGCTTGGGAGTGAGGTGACTTAAAACGCTTGCTCTGGCTTATTTGTGTTTCATCCAAAAGATGTTTCTCGGGGTACGTCGCCGGTCCCTTAAATACCACTGGAGCAAAAGCGCTGCGGGCCCTGAGGAACCCTGGGGAGGAGACAAGTTTTTCTCCCGGAGAACAGGCGACCGAGTTAAGGTCGGCCTTGCACGGCGCTCCCGAGCGCCCCGGGGGCCTCTGCACCCACATCTGGCCCGAGGTGGCGGCTGTGCCAGGCGTGGACGCGCGTGGCCCGCAGGCACCCATCTGGGGACGACCGGAAGCGAGCGACGAGGTGCCCAGGACGGGTGAAGAAGGCAGGCGGCCCCGTCCGGAGCGGTGCCGGCGGGCGGGAGCCTGGAGGTGCGTCGGTGGCCGAGACCCACCCGGCCCCGACCAGGGCCACTTGGAAGCGGATTTTTAGCCTCCTGCTCTGGGGACACATGAAGGGGGGGGGGGTCTGGTTGCAGAGGAGGCTGGGGCTGCTCTCCAAGCTGTTTCTCCTTGGACGGGCCATTTGTGGGGAGGACTTGGGCGCGCTGCTGTTGAGGTTCCGCCGCCCTCCCGGCGGGGTGCCAGGAGTTTTCTGCGTGGGCAGCCGCGGGCGGGGAGGGGACGCGAGGGTCGTGCCCTGCACTCCCGGGTCCCCGGTCCCCGCGGCGGGCGCAGCAGCTGGGCCGCCCCGCCCCCTCCTGCAGGCCGCGCCGAAACCCGAGCGCGCGAGGGCGGGGCCGCGCGGGCAGGCGGCGAGGGCGGGGCGCGGGGCCGGGGGGGCCCCCCCCCCGCGGGGGGGCCCCCCCCCCCGGCGGGGGGGGCGGGGCGCGGGGCCGGGCGGGGCACGGGGCCGGGCGGGAGGGGCTGCGCCGGGCGCCCGCGGCCGAGGTGGACCGAGCCTCGGGCTCGCTGCTCCCGCCGGCGGAGCGAGGCTGCCCTTTCTCCGCAGCAGCGCGACTGATTTTCTTCTCTTCTTCTCAGCTCTTCTTCCAGGGAGAGGCTAGTGCTAACAGGCCGAGCTGGATGGATGGGTATGGGGAGAGGGGCAGGACGTTCAGCCCTGGGATTTTGGCCGACCCTCGCCTTCCTTCTCTGCAGCTTCCCGGCAGGTAAGGCACCGCGTTCTGGCCGGAGGACAGCCGACCGGGGCTTCCCGGGGACCCTGGGCCACGGGATCGCCAGCGAGTCGGGGCTCAAGCTCGCCGGGCCCCCTGGGACCCCCGCCTCCCGTGCCCACGGGCCTTTGTCTCCCTGCTGACCCGCCGAGGGCGTGATGGGTGCCCGCGGAGCCCCGGGGGGACGCGCCCGAACTGCGAAGGGCAGCAGCGAGGGAGGGGACCTGGGGCGCCTCTCTCCTCCTCCCAAGGGAGAAAGAGGGTGCCCGGACGCGCCTCCAGGGGTTCCGGAGGAGAAGGGGAGCCAGGCGAGCTTTGCTCCAGCCTCTTCACCAGTTTGCAAACCTGCCCGGTGCCCGGGGTGCAGTCGGGGCGCCCCGGAGGTCCCCGCTGAGTCCCCGAAGGTCCCCTTTCCGGGGACCCCGTCCCGCCTCACGCGCTTCCCCACGCGGGCAAGACCACCGACCCGGTTCAAATGAGCTCATATCCCTGTTTGATTACATTCTGTGTCGCCCCCTGTTTGTTTTTATTGTGTCAGAAAGGGAGAGAATTTCAGAATTAAAGCTGAAAAAGCCCATCTGTTTCCAATGAATCCCCCATAGTTTTTCACAATGTTTTTGGCAGATCGCTGCTTTCAAATTCCTCGGAGCCCGGACCTCTTGTTTTTGTTGGGGGAAGGGAGACCAACTCCACAGAGAAGCATTTGTTCCTTCCCAAACGCTCCGGTTTCTTTACATTTTTTTTTTTTCCTCCTCTTTTGGAGGGAGAGGGAAAGGCACGAAACTTAAATCCCCAGTGCGTTTTCTTTATAATGTTTCATAAAACTTTATTTCATTTTTTCCATATGCTGCCCACAGCCTGGAAACACCAGTTAAACCCTTTATACCCATTTTTCTCGCGCTAAAAAATATAAATAAACACAGTCCAGGACCAAATGGTCCTCCGTGCAGGGTGCAACTGGCCGCCTCTTCGTTGTGTGGCGGGGTTCAGAGGCGTCTCTTTGCAGAAATTCCAGCTGGTTTCACAAGGCAGCCAGGCAAATCTGCAGCCCCTGTGCGCAGCCGAGATCTGCAAGAAAGGACTTGAGTTAGTCTCGGATTGGATTGTTTTGATTTGCTTTTCAGCCAACTGGGTTTCAAGGAACTGGCAGAACTGAGCAGTCCCGACTGGGCCTGACTACAAGTTGGGGCTCCCAGTGGCTGGCCCAAGTAGACCGTGAGCAGTGTGGGACCAGGGCTCAGTTTACCCTCTAGTCCCAGTCCGGCTGGAGGCCCCCAGCACCTGCCTGGCCAAGTTCTCCCAGATCCCTCAGCCATTGCAAGTCCCCAGGAGTGGCCCAGGGAGCCCCGGCCTGCTCCAGAGCCCTAGATTGCAAGGGGGACCCTGCCAGGGACAAGACAGGGGTGTCAGTGTCCCCAAACGCCTCCGCCCCCACGTGCCCAGGAATATCAAAACCTCCCAGAGGGTCCAGTAGCACCGCGTCCTGCTGGGATCCTTGTTTGGAAAGACAGTTGTTTCTCCATCTACTTAGGAATCTGACCAGATGGCCAGATTAAAACAATAAAAATCACTCTCATTTTTAAAAAGAAATCCCCCTCTTGCCGAAGCAGGAGTTTGCCATTTGAGTTCACCTCGGTTTGGTCTAGATAAAGATCCAGCCCATTGGAAGTTTTATCAGATGGGTTGATAAATGGCTTTTGTCCTTTGGCTGCCTTGGGGGATGTGATGTCAGCCCAGTGCTGAAACTGAGAAGAGGGGCTCCAGGGCCCTGAAAACACCACCATCCCGCTCTTAAAGCCACAGCACTTAATTTCTCAGGCTAGAAGTGGAGAAAAGGGAAGGCTAGCAGAAGTTCTTAGAGGTCAGAGGTCTTTGTGGTGCTTCTTGATTCATTTTTGCCCTTAAAACTTTCCTTTATGTTAAAGAATTCCGGCAGAGTCTGAGGAACACTGGTGGGTTATATAATTCACAACCCAAATTCCATCACTTTTGTTTCCAAGAAACACATTTCTTTTTGGCTTCAAGGCTGGTAACTAAAACCTAGCAGATGGCGCAGATAGCTGCTGGACTGTGAAGCCAACTGGCTAAGGTTTTTCCTCCTCCTCGGAGTCCCTGACAATTGCGTGGAGTCAGAACTGCCCACCCTAATGAAAACTGAGCTTCCCGTGGCCTACAGTGAAATACACAGCAGCCTCTGGAACCTGGAACTTGTGTGCTCAAGAAACCTTGGTCAAAGAACAGTTCCCCAAGTGAGAGATAAAACGGGGATTTTCACAACAAAGAGGAGCTGGCACAGGGATGCTTCGGAGTAAAGTCAGAAGCCCAGTTCTGTGGGACAGCAGGGTGGGACTTAGAGAAAGTAAAAAGCCTGGCGAGGAGGAGTCCAGGCCTAGAATCACAACCGTCCCCTACACGGCTGAGAACTGGCTGATGATCCCAGGAAAAGTGGGAGCATAGATTTGCAGAGCTCAACCAGCTTGCAGGTGGCCAGGAGAGAGGCCAAGGGGAGCAGATTAGATTGGGCACAGGTAGGTAGAGAAAGATGCCTTGGCTCTGCCCTGCTAGCCTGAGAGTGTTTGTGTGTTTTATTTACATTTACTTAGTCACATGTACAGCCAGTCTACTATGTCCCTGCCTCCATGACATCTTTTGGGTCCCTCAGGCAGACACAGCCTGGTAAAGGAAAGCCCCCTGAAGTGTCTCATACCGGCTGGAAGGGCGTCTGCTTGGGCAATGCTGTGAGGACCCTGGAGCACGCAGAGGCCAGATCTACTCTACACGGGAGACCCGCCAAAGCTTTTCAGAAGAGACTTCCGAAAATAGCATCCTCTTCCAAACACAGCAGATAGGTACTTCTTAAACTCAGGGGCCATGTGACTCACTCAGACCAATATCTAAGGGAAATCCATCAAGGCACATTGTAGGGCTGTTGACATGTTTCCTGTTACTGCACACGGATGCTGGGTTCCAGCACAGTGCTTCTCAAAGTGGGGTCTCAGGACCTGGGCCCAGCCTGAAGCAGGTCGATTCTCAGGGCCAGGAGCCCCCACAGTCTGTGCTCTGACAGGCCCTGCAGGAGATTTGGATGCACACTCGAGTCTGAGGCCCACTGTTCACAGAAGTACTGCACAGCCAGGCATGGTGGCACACACCATGTGTAATCCCAGCACTCAGAAGGCTGAGGCAGGAAGTCCTCAAGTAGAGGCTGACCTGCACTACATAGTGAGACCCCAGGTCAAAAAATATATATATTGCACTGCAGCCTTTGTTTATTTCCTGTTTCTTTCTCTTACACTTTTAAACTGTAGCAGGTTTAGAAATCTTAGTCCCAGTGGGGAAACAAAGGGCTGGGGAGGACAGAGTCCCACACAGTGTCCAAGCACACCTGTGTCACTATAGAGATGAGACTATTTCTATCCGAGGTGCTGTTTTAAAATGTGCGTGCAAGGCCACCTGTTGACTACGTTGCTTTCTCTCCCAGTTGACTCTGTGTCCCAGGAGAGTGTGTCCGTCTGTCTGGACTGCTGTGACAATACCACAGAAAAAGCCTGTGAGCGATGGAGCCCCTGCTCACAGTGCTGGCCAGTCTAAGTCGGGTGCTGGGCCCATTTCCTGGTTCATGGATGGCGTCTTTTCCTTGTCTCTGTGGGGCAAGAGGGAATGTGGGTTCTCTGAGGCCCCTTGATGATAGGAGCACTAATCCCTTTCTTTAAGGCTCTACCCGCAGGACCTAGAGTCCCCTCCCACCACCGCCTACTCCTAATACTGGAGGCTCGGGTTTAACTGATGAATGGAGGGGTTGGGAACAAAGGCTTCCTCCCTGGGAGAGAGGAAGAGGGCCTTGCAGCCAGTGTGTGAAGGGTCTTGCGGGCCAGAGCTTGGCTCCCAAGGAGAACGAACGCAGACAGGAAATCCTGTAGGTGGTTGACCCCTTCAGTCCCAGCAGTGAATTAGGGGGTAAAGGAAAGGATCTCCTGTCTTCCCCTTTGGAGAAGTCAGAGAAATTCCTCTTAGTCACCCCAGCACCCAAAAAAAGGGAGCTGGAGAGAGTTGGGGATCTGAGGAGAGGTGACCCAAGGCACAAACGAGGCCTCTCTGAGGTGGGAAGAGCTCAGTAGGCTGGGGACTGGCTTACGTGAGGGGTGGAGGGGTCATTCCTATTAAAGATCCTATCTTGAGGGGCCAGGGATTTAGCTCAGTGGTTTCACCACCTGCTGCGCAAACTCAAGGTCCCCGGTACCAAAAAAAAAAAAAAAGATCCTATCTTGTGTGGAATGCCTCAAGCCTAGGCCTGGACACTGCACCCCCAACTTCAGGTTTGGGTTGAGCACCAGTTGGGCACCACGCTGTCTTGCATCAGGTCTAAAATGCAACCTGCCTAACACTAAAGACTTGTTTCTCTTGGGATAACCAGCTCATCTCAGTTTTGCCTAAGACTGTCCTCGTTTTAAAACAGAAAGCCAAGAGTCCTAGCATACCAGGATGGTTGGTGCTGGTCACCTTGACTTCATCCCCTCACCTGTCTCTGTTAGGCGATTCCGATTGTCACCTTGCTACATCTCCAGCAGGAACAACCCCCCTAGGACCTAGGCATCCAGCGGGAAGGGGCTCTGACTTCCGGTCCTAAGTCTTACTGAGCCTCATTTCCATAGCGCCTAGTCCATCCCCGAGCTCCCCTGGCCTCCCCATACACCACCCTCTCCCCACCACCCTTACCCATGGGCAGCCCCAAGCTTGGCCATGGCACCACCTGGTTTGGGGTGCAGTGCCCACCATCCACCCACTTGATCAAGGACCAAGCTCAGTGCCGGGGTCCATGCAAGCCTCAACACCCTGAGCATCTGTCACCTAGGCTACTGAGAGCTAACTTTCCCCCAGCTTTATAACCTTGGGTTTTGTTCTCTTCTGAAGCACCACTTCTGTTGGTAAGGGCAGGAACCCCGCTTTGTTTGATAAATCCCTCTCCTCCTCACTCATCACAGACATATCCCAGC